CAATTATTGTCAAATTTGTCATAGGGTATCCTTCGCCCAAAGGGCTTTCTTTTATACTAAAACTAGGGTTGTGACCCTTAAACAAGGGGAGATAATTAGGAAAATAAAAACAAAAGTACTGGTTGCTAAAAAATCTTCTTCTCAAGAACTACTGGGCAGATTATCACCAAACTTACACAAAAGGATGAAGATATGTTGTAGATTAAAATTTGCACGGGGATTTACCCTGGGGCAAAGGGCGTGGTCTCAAGGTCACTTCAAAGTTGACCAAAAATTACATTTTATTAAAATGTTGATATTTTGCTTACTATAAGGACTAGGATCATCAAATCTTGTCAGTTGATGCATCTAAGGACTTCAAATCATGTTGACTCAAAAGTAGGTCACGGTGACCTACTTTTCAAATTTTGCGGCCATTTTTCAAAATGATTTAGAGGTATATTTTGAACAATTTAAGGCCTATGATCATCAAACTTTGTCAATTAATGTATCTTGGGTCCTTGAAGTACGTCAACTTAAAAGTAGGTCACCTTGACCTACTTTTTAAATTTTATTGCTAATCTTTTTCAAAACAATTAAGGTCATTAATTCGAATACCAAGGGGTTAAGAATCATTAAATCTTGTAAGCTGATGCATCTTGGGGCCATAAAACAGATTTATTAAAAAGTAGGTCACAGTGACCTACTTTCTGAACTTTGCAGGCATTCGATTTCAAAGCATTTTAGAGGCATAATTTGGACATTTCAAGGCCTATGATCATAAAACTTTGTCAGTTGATGCATTTTGGGTCCTCAAAAAACATCAACTGAAAAGTAGGTCACTGTGACCTACTTTTCAATTTATATGACTATAATTAAATATTTCAGGTACTAATTGGCTTAGAATCATCAAACTTTGTCAGTTGATGCATCTTGGGTCTTTGGAGTAGGTCCACTGAAAAGTAGGTCACTGTGACCTACTTTTGAAAATTTATGGCTTTAATTAAATATTTCAGGTACTAATTGGCTTAGAATCATCAAACTTTGTCAGTTGATGCATCTTGGGTCCTCAGAGCACAACAACTGAAAAGTAGGTCACCGTGACCTACTTTTGAAAATTTATGGCTTTAATTAAATATTTCAGGTACTTTATTGGCTTAGAATCATCAAACTTTTACAGTTGATGCATATTGGGTCCTTGGAGTACCACAACTGAAAAGTAGGTCACGGTGACCTACTTTTGAAATTTTATGGGTGTATTTAATATTTTCGAGTACTATTTGGCTTAAGAATCATAAAAATTTGTCAGGTGATGCATGTTGTGACCTCGGAGTAGGTTGACTGAAATGTAGGTCACGGTGACCTACTTTTGAAAATTTATGGCTTTAATTAAATATTTTGGGTACTAATTGGCTTAGAATCATCAAACTTTGTCAGTTGATGCATCTTGGGTCCTCGGAGTACAAAAACTGAAAAGTAGGTCACCGTGACCTACTTTTGAAAATTTATGGCTTTAATTAAATATTTCAGGTACTAATTAACACCAAACTTTGTCAGTTGATGCATCTAGAGTTTTTGGAGTACAACAACTGAAAAGTAGGTCACTTTGACCTACTTATAAATTTTTATGGTTATAATTTTAAAAAATTTTTAGGTATTAATTGGCTTAGAATCATCAAACTTAGTTGATGGGTCCTCAGAGAATGACAAGTGAAAAGTAGGTCACCATGACCAACTCTCAGGTACTAATTGGCTTAGAATCATCTTGGGTTCTCAGAGTGTGAATTGGAATTTCAAGGGTTTATCTAAATATACAGGATTTTTTGAGGCTTCAAATAGAAGTGATAGGTTGTACAGTTTATCAGAAGAGCGATTCAAGGCCCTTGGGCCTCTTGTATAGGGATTGGACACAAGTTCCAAAAACTTAGGTAGTTCTCTCCTCATACATAAAATCTGAATAGCCATACAACATCTACAAAAGTTTACAATAATATACATGTACACAGAAGAACAAAAAGAATCATTTTTATACGCCCCTCTTTAGACGGGATGTATTATGTTATGGCGTTCATGTCTGTCTGTCTGTCTGTTAGCTTTTCTCGTGTCTGGCTCATATAACTTTAATATTATTAGGCCTAGGATAATCAAACTTTGTCAGCTGATACTTCTTGTGTAGAAGGTGTGTCGCGCACTAAAAGTAGGTCGCTCTGACCTTTAATTAAGATGCTATGGCCAAATATGGAAAAATCCTGTCTGGCTCATAACTAGAAAACTATTGGACTTGGAATCATCAAACTTGGCCAATTTATGCATCTTAGGTAGAAGGTGTGTCGCGACCTATTTCAAGGTCACTGTGACCTTTAATTTAAGTGAAATTTAAAAAAAAAAGTCTTTTTACTATAGATTACACAATCCCAAAAAATGCAAGAGTGTTGCAGTATCCTTATTAAAATAATGTTAAATCAAGAAAATACTTCTTTTTTTCATTATATACTTTACAGCAATCTATAACAAATGTAATGTTACAAGAGAAATTCCACTTCTCCCAGGGGTTTAATTATCAAGCACTGGTCAAGGAGAATTTGATGACAGAAAATTGCACATCAAATTAGAGAGAAATTGATGAGTTTAGTGTGAGGAGCTAACAGGTAGAGCATCTCTGATCAAGCAGGTGTTATCGATATCTCTTGGGAACTGGGCAAAAAGAATCAGCCTGTTCAGTGTATTAAATAGTTGGCTAGCCTAACTTTTTAAATGAATTTGGTGAAAAGTAATTAAAAGTTATTTGATATTGTATAATAAATATTAATTTGATATTGTATAATATAATTAAAACTAATTATACTGGGGGGAGGGGTGATATTGGAATGAGTTGCAGCTTAAAACCAGTCTGACATTAAATCTAAAAAAAAAATCAAGTATTTAAAAAAAATGTTTTAATTATGGTAGATAGTCCCTTCAAATCTAAGAGTAATGCAGGAACCTTATTTAAAATGTTGCATCAAGATTACACAAGTGTTTTTTTCTTTTTATAAATCTTTGTAACAAATTAAAAAAAAATCTTTGTTTTCAAATTTAATTTCAGAGTGACATAAATATGCATTTTTATTGCACTACAAAGCAGATAGTATGTCCGTTGGGAGTAATGACTGGACATGCATCCAGTTAAAGATTAATTAATGAGTTCAGTGTAGGAAGGCTAGCTGGCTCAATCATTTCTTTTAGAGGATCTCTGATCAAGCAACTCTTATCTGTATCCTTTGGGAATTAGACAGAAGAACTGCTTGTCAGTTTATAGCATATAGGCCTATGTCATTTGATGGCCAGCCATTTGATATAGATTAAGTTGTTAAGACTAAATTGATATTGTTTAATATGATATTTTTATTTAATTTTTTGAAAATATCAACTAATTCAGAGCATTATGTCTTGCAAATCTGAAAGTTGGGGGGGGGGGGGGGGGGCTGCAGATGGGCATTTGTCAAGCTCTAACACAACCAGTTGAGGATCTATGATGTAATATTTATTATAATTAATGCCAACACCACAGGAGGTGTATAAACAAATATTATAAGGAATGGAAAAATCCTTGTATCAAGGTTGACATGATTTTCTTGCACTCTAAACTGTTTATGACAATTGAACAATATTTGACGGGCGTATCATGCTGTGGCAGGGCACTTTATTAATGCTAAGGAATATCAATTAATTATAATGATTATTATAGAAATAATGATGATTTGTTTTTCTTAACAATTTATGAATTGCCGATTCGAAAAAAATGGATTTTTTTTGGGTTCATAATACAAACACATATAAAACATATAAAACGAACATGATTTACTGAATATAGAGTAATATTCTTAACACCCACCAACAAATCTCCAGCTTTTTTATGATTCAGGATGAGTAAATGATATTCTATAACATATTTACTCTGACAAAAAATACTATATTTAACTAGTTTACTCTCAAAGTATCAGTGTTTACTTTTCTATTTGAAACTAATTTACCTGAAATTGTTATTTTTCATTTTCCTAAATTTCTACATTTCTATTAATAGAAAATATCAATTGTATATATTCACATATTATTACTATGATTTACATTATTGGTATTATAGTTGAGAGTTATGAAGGGTTAAACCCTAATCCAAACACATTGGAGTAAGGAGATGATCCTTACGTCTTGGGTTCGAATCCCACTGGGACATAGAGACCGGTCCTTCGGATAAGACCGTATAAACCGAGGTCCCGTGTCACAGTAGGTGCTGGCACGAAAAAGATCCCTCACTGCTCAATAGCCCTGAGTGCAGAGTGTAGGTCAAAATTTGCAGCTCTCCACCGGCAAGTGGTGATGTCTCCATATGAGTGAAAAATTCTCAAGAGGGACGTTAAACAACAATAAACAAACACAATTTAGTTATTGGGTTATATTACCAACCATGGGGTTATGGTAGCTAAAACTGGAGATAACATTTTACACAATAAATGCATGTATACAGGAAAAAATTATCTTTTCCAGAACAACAAGGCCATGTAAGTCATATTGGTATTGTGGAATTGATTGCCATAGGGATTCAAGTTTTATTAATTCATGACCCCTTGCAGGCAGAGTTGGGAGTGGGGTCACAAGTTCAAAGTTTTTTGTGGGAATGAAGAAGAAAAATATCTTTAAAATTTTCTGATGTAGAACAGGAGGGCAAAGGTAACTTGGGTGAGCTGTCTGACCCATAGACCTCTTGTTTCAAAGGCAACCTCTACCCAACCATGTAAAGTTAGTTTAATGCCTATACATTCAGGTTAAACTTAACGTGAAAATGCAAGGTGACTAGTTGAGAATGTTGAGTATTGCCTTTGTGGCTTAATGCTAAGTGTGGCAGTATATTACCAGGGTATATCTAAATTTAATAGGGATGTATAATTCTGTGTTACCAACTTAAAATTGATCAGCAAAAAATTATTCCTTGCAAATAATCTAAATTGTATTTGACCCCTTTCAATTTTTGAGTGTTTTTGTAGGAAGCAGCTCAATCAGGTGAAGAGGAAGCTGCAGTTCTGCCTGGAGAACCACAGCTGGAAAATACAAAGTCCATTCCACAAGGATCGGACAGAACAACAGAGGCACTGGACACTGCACTAAAAGATTTAACACCACGGTAAGGCCAAAAAAAAAGTTTATTTGCCCTTTTCCATCCAAGATTTTTAACGATGGGTAGGTAGGTAGGAAAAATGTTTTATTTTTTTCTTCTTAAGGAAGTGATTGCAAGGGTCAGTGAAAAAAATCCGCTCAGTTTTTCAATATTTTGATATTTATGAGGTGAAATTTTATATATCCTATACAGGTATCAAAATTGAAACAAAATGAAAAAAATTCCACTAGATATTAAATAATATGCTTTATATTCAATGAAAATTAAAAATTGTATCGGAAACTATTGACAGTTGTAGTAATGCCACCGCTGCATTGGGGCGTATTTATTGTAAATTTGCAGTAATATTTTCACCTCAAGAGGAGTTCTCAATGTCTTGACAAAAAATTACTCAATGAATTTTCGAAAAACTAATATATTTTGTACAAATTATTATAAGTGACTTATGGTTAAAATATGAAGTAAGGTCATCACATTCATTTTGAAGCTACATGCATTTCAATGGTTTGCTGCTGAACCTTAAACATGTATAGTCTGTAAAAAGACTAAAGAAAAAACAATATGTATAGATTAAAAAATACTTTTTTTCTGAAAATCTTGCATTTATAGCTCATTTTATATGTAAATCAGAATAACAAAAGGAAAAAAATCATGTACTGAAAAAAATAACAACATGCACATTTGTTTTTATTTTTTATTTTCCCGACTTCAAAACATTCATTCCGTTATTATATCAATATAAATATATATACAGTGGCTTCCATTTTATCGGATAGCGGTTTAATGAATATTTTGGCTATTTCAATATAATATCAGAGCACAATACCATTTCTTATATATTTATTAATAATTTCACCTGATATTTTGATGAGAAAATATTGGATTTTCGTTTTATCTGATACAAAAATTTCGCCAGTCATAATAATTTTCATAATCATTGACTTGTTCACACCTCTAACTTCGGTGTGTAAACCCTTTGTTTATTCAGTCTGTTTATTCAGTCTGACCCCTTCAACCAGGAGAACGACAATAGGGGATTAGTTACGGCTGAACACACACAGGAATCTTACCTGTGTTAACAATGGGCATGGTAGATCGTTAAGTTTTGATTACAATTGTGATGATTAGCTTGGGATTCAGTGCTGCACTTGCTAATTTTGATAATTGGCTTGTGTGCAATTTAGTTGGGCGTGAAATTTTAATTATTGAACTGTTCAGCATGTGTATGACACTTCGCTTGGACATTAAAATGCACCATAATTAGACTATCTATTAAATCATTTCGCTTGGTCATTTATCTGAATATGTGTTCACTTTTAAGTGCAAATTTCAGGGTTAAAATCACAAGCACCCCATATAAATATACATCTCAAAAATTTTATTCATCATTCTCAATATGGCTCTGAAGAGGAAAAGGACAGATCTCTCCTTGGAAGACAAGTATGAAGCGGTTAAACTCCTTGACCAAAAAGTCCCCCAAACAGAAATTGCCAAGAAGTTAGGATGTTCACTACCTCAGATTAGCGCTATCTCAAAAAATAGAGACACAATACGAAAAGATTACGAAACTAGCGCTAATCCAGAAAGAAAAAGGCACAGATCTGGGAAGGCACCAACAGTCGAGGGGGCCCTTACAGAATGGTTTACAAAGGCTCGCAGCAAAGATCTCCCTGTCTCCAGCGCAGTGCTAACAGAAAAGGCAGAAGACTTGGCAGCACGAATGAACATCAGTTCACTGCAACAAATGGCTGGTTGTCCCGCTGGAAGCAAAGAAACAACATAAGTTATAAGAAGATGCATGGAGAGATGAAAGATGCTAACACAGATGCAGCCACTCACTGGATCACAGATGTTCTACCACAGCTTATGAAAGACTACGAGCCGCAGAACATCTATAACGCCGACGAAACGGGACTTTACTACAGAGCTCTCCCTGATGGAACATTGACGTTCAAGAAAGATAAATTGGCTGGTTCAAAAAAGGCAAAGGACAGAGTGACAGTGCTAGTGACAGTGAACATGACCGGAACAGACAAGCGTCGGCTGCTGGTAATCGGGAAAAGTAAAGACCCAAGATGTTTCAGTAGGAAGAAAAGTATACCCGTGATCTACAAGAGTTCCGGAAATGCCTGGATGACTGGTGATTTGTTCAAACAGTGGCTCGCAGACTTCAACAGAGACATGGTTCGTCAGAACCGAAAAATTCTCCTACTTGTGGATAACTGCTCAGCTCACCCTAAAGACGCTGCCGACCGACTTACCAACATCAGACTAGAGTTCCTGCCAGCAAACACAACATCCATAATTTAACCATGCGATCAAGGCATCATTAGGAATTTGAAAGCCCTGTACAGATCTCAAGTGATTAAAAAAATGGTGAGCGAGATCGACAGCGGCAGCATCTCAACAGCGATGGACCTTGCTAAAAGACTTACACTACTTGACGCAGTGCATCTTTTGAGTAAAGCATGGCGGGGAGTCAAAGAAACTACAGTGGTGAATTGTTACCGGAAGGCAGGTTTCCAGACCGAATGCACAAAAGAAATGCCAGAAGAAGAACCAACTATTCCCGAGTGTATGGAGAGAGAAGAGTTCTTCGACTTTGTTAATCACGACGACACCGATTGTCACAGAGAAATAACAGACGACGAGATCTGTGCTCAATTCTTAGCGGAAGAGACAACAAGAAAGCCGGAAGAAGAAGTAAGTGATGAAGAAACAAGCTTCACTCTACCAGTGAGTTCAGCAGAGAACAAGGAATCCCTTTCCAACGTTCGATGTTTCTTGGAGGAAAATGGTTGTGAGGACTTTAGAGCTTTTTACGCACTGGAAGAACTATGTGAGCGTTTGGGTGAAAAACTGAAGAAACAGACAAAGATCACAGAGTTCATAGACTGGATACCCTAGGGACTAAATGAAACAGTGACTAAATAGTGTCTACGCTGTGCTCAAAATGTTTGACATTTAATTTATCGTTTGACGTTTATCATGTTTATCAGATTTTTTTCTTGTATGTATTTTACCTTTTTGTGCTCTTGTAGTGCTTTCTCATGTGCTTGATAATATGTTGATGCTTTCTTATGTGCTTGATAATATTAAACATTCAAATAAAGATCAAACACTTAAAATAATTTTTTTTTGTTTATTTATTTATCAGCAATCCGGAAAAAAAAATATAGTCATGCATTCATTCAACTTCCACTTTCCAACATGGAGACTATCAACGAATGGGATGAATGTTAACAGGTGCCAGGTTCTGACTAAATATATAAAGATGACAATAAGTTTTATAATTCAATTAAATAAATTATTATACATACGAAATCATATTGAACTCTTAATAAGTGAAATAATTCATTCTACTGACTTAGTACATTTATCAATCGAAAATGAAAGTGCAAGTAAGAAAAACAAGCGTGTTTTATTGCTACATGTGTACTGTACATCTAGTATTTGCACTACAAATGGTGCAATTGGCTATTCTAATATTCGGCTATTCGGATAAAATAGGCTGACAACTTGACTATCCGATAAAACTGGATCCACTGTATTCTAAACCAGTACACAGTGGTCAAAGGGGCAAATTGTTCATGCACTGCACAAACTGAGGTCTCTGCACTGTGACCTGGAATGGGGGGGGGGGGGGTTAGACACCTGTCTGAACATATTGATTGAATTGGGGTTATTTCATAGAACTTGTATCTGCATTAAATACATAAAAAATCCTAATATCTTATTTGGCCAAAAATAGTGATTTGCTATTTAATAATTACATTTGCAAATATTTTTCCTTCATATTCTTCGCATCATTTTCTCATGAACTAGGTACATGAGTACATGAGGGAGCAAGAATATCTCTTTTGTGACGTCATAATTCCACACTTGATGTCAAAACTAGAAACTTTAGTTTAAAAAATAATTGTTGAATGACATAAAGCGTCGCTTCATGCTTGTGCGCTTCATAAAATATGCGGGCATGAAGCGTCTTTGTTCTTGTCCTCGTGAATTTTCAAAAATTATTATTTTAAAAATTATTTTTTGCTAGATTTGTGAAAACTTGCAATTTTAAAGAAACTTTTCTTTTCTGTCAGAAGAAGTGTGTTCAGTTTCAATTTTTGACAGAAAAACATTATACAACAAAATGTTTACACAATATATGCACCGATGATTCAATGTTTACATGGCTGATGTAAGTGTTGAAAATGCTAGAGAAGATCTTATAGAGGAAACAAATTTCCTCTGCAATATTAAAAAAAAAAGATGTTCATGTCCAGCATGCAACCTCAAACTAGTCTATAACGTATATATCAAAATCGTATTCGTTCATCTGTTCATCCATATTCATTAATCACGGAGAAAATCACGCCATCTGAAGCTTCTAGGAAATGAATATATTATATGTTGATGTAGATCCAATAGTAAGTTCTAATATTTTAATTAATTAAAACAAGAGGACATAAAGATCCAGATATAAATTCAGTTTATTAAATGAAATAGATTTCAATATTCAGAACTCTATACACAAAAGCTAGACGTGTCAAAACAAAACACGTAGATGAAAAAATCTGTGTCGACGCTCCCCAACACTCTGCAGAGTCACGCCTTATTCTTTCTCTGTTCATGAAATATTGCCACGAGGACTTTTTGTCATTGGCGCAGTCATATCATGCCCCTTATTCCAGAAATGGTTACCGTTAACTTTCTCATTTTAAACCTCACATGAGTCGATCACGTGACGCCTTGCAATCGCTTCTAAAATTGTAACAAAAAGCCTAAAAGCCACATTAATGCTCATCTGAGTCACTCTTTATTGCTTCTCTTCGAAACTTGTTTTTGAAAGATTTTTTTATTCTACATTTTCATGAAAAATTGTGGGCCAATCCAAGGCACAAGGAGTCATGACATAATCAAAGTTTAATCCACACTACATAGGGATTCTGAATATTAGTGTGACTAATGTGGCCTTACTATTCTAAAGAAAAAATATTCATCCAATTTTCCCTTAT